TTATTACATAACCTCAGATATACATAGATATAAAATCTGGACTTTTCTAGTCTCATTTTTGTACTTCCTGTTTCTTTGCCAGTTCTTCCCATCAAAGTAAGTGATATCACCAGCTACCCTGTTATTCAAGTCAGAAACTACGTCATCATCCTTGATGCCTCCTCTTTTTTCCCTGCATGCAATCTGTCACCAAATCCCATCAATTATTTCTCCAAAATGTGTGTCAAAACTGTCTACTCTTGTCCATCTCCGCACTCTTCTAGTCCAAGTCTCCTTCATCTCACCTCTTTCCTGAGTTTATTGTGACAGAATCCTAACTGGTCTGCTAGTTCTTTTAATCCACACTCTGTAATGCACATTGTGTGCATATGTGTGTGTAATGTTAATCAGATGATAGCTTTTTGTTGTGCTTAGTAGATCCCATTGCATTTATAATTCAAACTCCATGTAATTGCACAAACTGCATGATCTGGTGACTGCCTGCCTCTTCATTTTCAGCACATACCATTTTCTGCCCTGCCTACTAGGCTGTGACTGACCACACTGACATTTTAATAGCGGTACCTAGAGCTAATTTTCATAAGCATTCACTGCTTTTTTTTTTTTTTTTTTTTTTGCCTGGCTGGCTCTGTGCAGTAGATCGAATGGTCTCTCCCCCCACCCCCACCCCTACCAAGATATGTGACATCTCAGAATGTAACCTTATTTGGAATAAAGTGTTAGTAAATGTAATTAAGGTAGGGATCTCGAGGCGAGAGCATCTTTGATTAGAGTGGCCTGTAAATCCAATGACAAGTGACCTTACTAGACACAGAAAAGACACAGATACAGGGAAGAAAGATATATGAAGATGGGTGGCAGAGATAGGAGTTACGCTGTCACAAGCCAAAAAAATCAAGAGCCACCAGATACTGGAAGAGGCAAAGAAGGATCCTTTCTGTGATCCTTTGAAGGGAGCATGGTACTGCTGACACTGTAATTTAAGACTTCAGCCTCTAGAACCGTGAGAAAATAAATTTCTGTTGTTTTAAGCCATTGATTTGTTACAATTTGTTATGGAAACCCAGGGAAACTAATACACCCTATCTCACCACTGCACTCCAGCCTTGGCAACAGAGTGAGACACTGTCTTTAAAAAAAAAAAAAAAGAAAGAAAAGAGAAGGAAAAAGGAAGAGTTGGAAAAAATGGAGTTGAAAAACTTACCAATAAAGTTAAAATGTGATTCAAACATTTAAAATTTTACCCACAATGTTCTTCAGTCAGACCACTATGTTTTACTTTAGATATTCTAGATTTTTATTTTATTTTTAATAACAAAAATTCTGTCGATATTTGGTTGTTAATACTACTATATATGTACAAACATGCTTTTCATTGGTTTTAGGCATTTAGTATATGGGATAATGGATAGTGTACAACAATTTGTATAAAGGCCCATTTTTACTATTACAGTTACAAGGCTATGCTAAATGAATTGTCAGGGAAAGGTGATGTCTAAGACTTAAAAGGATGACTGAAGAGTGAGAGGAAGGGGGATATACGGGGATGAAGGAGGTGTGAGTTAACAAAAAAGGTAGATGTGAATATCTACCTATATTATCTCAAATATGCAAAGATAAAGAGTGCGAACAGACCTATATCATCTGTTCAGTATGCAGTTGTATTCTTAAAGAAACTTTGTATTACCAAAAGACACATTACTACACCTATTAATTTAATAGGGATAAAGAAGGTTAATGACTAGAGAATATCAGTTTAATAGTAAACAGTCCTTATAAAGTAGTGGTTAAAGCTTTGGTCAGCTAGGGTCAGTGAATCAGTAGAAATGCTTTTAGCTTCAACTAACAGAAGATTCTGTTAACAGTGGATTAAACAAATAGGTTTTCTGGTTGTTGTTCCCTACGCAAGAAAATTAGAGAAGATTAAATTACTAATTTACAGAAAATAAACATTGAGGTAGGGGGTGTAGTCAGCAAAATCCACACTGTGGGAAAGTCTTAAGGACAAACAACCCAGTTTCTTCAGCAAAAAATTTAAAGGGGGAAAAATGCAGTTGAGAGACACCAGTGTATTAAAAGTTACTTAAGGGGTGTATTAACCAATCATAATTCATGAGCCTTATTTGAACTTCAAACTAGAAAAACCATTTTTTTTAATTAGACAATTGTGGATTTGTGAAAGTGACAGGATTTTTTGATGCCATTATATTAAGGAGCTACTGTTATTTTTTTCTGGTATGTAACTATCATGAATATTCTTTAAGTCTGTATCTTGTGGAGAAACGTACTAAAATATGTACAGTTAATATGGCTGGAATTTATACAGGTTAAAGTGGCTGTGAATGAAAAAGTAAAACTGGAGGTAGGCTGCTGCTGATGAGAGTTGAGTGGCTCACTAATGTTTGTTATCTTTAAGATTCTCTTGGCCATTTCTCTTCATGGTTGCACAGTGATTGTTGCAGTTGTAACTGTTCATATAGCAAAGAGGCAGAAGAAGGGGTAGCATTTGTTTCAGAAAGCAAAAATTAACCCATTACAAATTGCTGCTTGCATCTCATTGACCTTTGTCATATGTCTACCCTTGCCTGGAGGGTATCTAGGAAGAACTAGGGTGGGAATGGAAGTTGGGTCAGCCAACCAACAGTGTAAGCCAGAAGCAGATGACTGATTTTTATCTCAACTCTGTCATTTATTAACTGTATATTTCTTCATCTGTAAAATGAGGATGAAGAGAGTAACCTGTGTTCATATATTCCTCCCACTACTACTGTGAGTGAGCTATTGCATGTAAAAGTCTCAGCAGTGTGCCAAATAAGAAGTTAGTGCTCACAAAATATTAGGGTTATTTTCATTACCATTCTTGTCACCACCAACTTAATTCTTTTTTTATTGAGGTAAAATTCACACATAATATAAAGTTAGCCATTTTAAAGTGTATAATTCAGTGACATTTAGTGCATTTACAGAATTGAGCAACTATCACCTCCATCTAGTTCCAAAATATTTTCATTGTCCACAAAGAAACTTCAGTAAGGTGTATCTCCCTTTCGATCTCAGCCCAGCTTTTCACAACCACTAATCTGCTTTATGCCTCTATGCATGTACTCGTTCTGGGTAAGTCAGATACCTTTTGTATCTGGGTTGCTTCCACCTTTTGGCTATTGTGAACAGTATCCCTGTGAACATTCATGTACAACTGTTTATGTGTATACCTTCTTTTTTTTTTCCACTTCATTTGGGTTTATACCTAGGAGTGGACGCTCTTGGTCATGTGGTAATTCTGTTTAACTTTTTGAGGCACTGCCAAATGATTTTCCACAGTATATCTACCATTTTACATTCCTGCCAGCAATGCATGAGAGTTCCAATTTCTTCACAGCTTTGTCAACACTTATTGTTTTGCATTTTTAAATTATTATTATTATTGCTATCCTAGTGGATGTGAAATCGTATTTTGTGGTTTTGATTTACATTTTCCTGGTGACTAATGATGTTAAGCATCTTTTCATGTGCCTGTTGGCCATTTGTTTACTTTCTTTGGAGAAAGGGCTATTCAGGTCCTTTATCTATTTTTAAGTTGGGTTGTTTGTCTTTTTGTTGTTAAATTGTAAGGGCATTTTTAATATATTCCAGATACCAGACTCGTATCAGATACATGATTTGCAAATATTTTCTCCCATTCTATAGGGTGTCTTTTCACTTTCTTGATAGTATCCTTTGATACCAAAGTTTTAGTTTTGATGAAATCCAATTTATTTTATTTTGTTTGTACTTTTGCTGTCATATCTAAGAATCCATTGCCAAAAGTCATGAAGATTTGCCTGTAGTTTTTGTCTAAGATGTTTAAATTTTTAGCTCTTATATTTAGGTCTTCAGTCTTTTTTTTTTCTTTCTTTCTTTCTTTTTTTCCGAGCTGGAGTCTTGCTCTGTCACCCAAGCTGGAATGAAGTGGCGTGATCTTGGCTCACGGCAACCTCCGCCTCTGTGGTTCAGGCAATTCTCCTGCCTCAGCCTCCTGAGTAGCTGGGATTATAGGCACCTGCCACCATGCCCAGCTAATTTTTGTATTTTTAGTAGAGACGGGGTTTCACCATGTTGGCCAGGCTGGTCTCGAACCCCTGATCTTGTGATCCACCCCCGCCTTGGCTTCCCAAAGTGCTGGGATTACAGGTGTGAGCCACTGCACCCGGCCAGGTCTTCAGTCCTAAAGGATTGATGTTGGATCAGTTTTTATCCATTTTGAGTTAATTTTTGTGTGTGATAAGAGGCAGCAGGACCAGCAAGTTTATTCTTACCACCTTTATCATCCAATATCATGAAGCATGACGTCTCTCCAACAAAACATCTGAATTGTTTTTCTGAATAGCTTTTCCAGCATGTGTTCAAGCAGTGGTGATTTTCCTCTTAATTTTTATAAGAGGGAACTGTCTGCATGATGTAAATTGTTCTCTATTTTATTGATCCAATTTTATCCAATGTGCAGTAGGAAAACGAGCTACATTAGACATATCTAGAATAGATGTGGGTTTTAAATTTGTAAACTTGGCAGGGTTGATTAGTAAATCTTTGCTTCTAGATCTAAAAATTTTAGTGCTGCTTTGAAACGTTGATTTAGTTATTGAAGTAGAGTCCATAGGAATATGTAATTGCTATTTTTGTATTCTAATCTTGTTTTATTTGGTTTTGCATAGTCTGGTTATATCTTTTATTGAATACCATTCTTTGATTAGAAGTTATCTCACTAGTTCTTTTTTCCCCCTTCACCTGCAGTGTTGGGGATAATGTAGTTTTGGGGATCTACTGGAGTGAAAAGTGGTTCTGGTGGGATAACCTTTAAAAGGCTGTTATGTACTATTCAATAACTTTAAAAAAAAATCTGCTAGTACAGGATGGACAAGGATGAACCTTATACATTCTCCTGTTAACTGGCAATGGTTTTAAAGTTGTCTAACATTTGTTTTAAACAGAAGAGCATAAAATTTGGTTGTTTCTGTTTTTAGTACCTGATTCTAAAACTCGAAAGGCCTGCTATAGTTCAGAATATCACATTTGGAAAATATGAGAAAACTCATGTTTGCAATTTGAAGAAATTTAAAGTCTTTGGTGGCATGAATGAAGAGAATATGACAGAGCTGTTGTCCAGGTGAGTTATGGTTATGGGGAAGAGAGCTGTCTTCTAAACAAAATGTAGTCTTAGTCTCTTTGTAGCTAATCTGCATGGTTTGATTTTTCTTTCAAAGGAGAAAAGAGTATTCCTTCTCTTCTATTCCTAATGCCTTAGTTTAATACTGTGGGTTGAGTTAGCTTTCTTTCTTTTTTTTTTTTTAAACCAACAGACCCTAGTTAATATTTTTACCAAAGAAGAATCAAACTTTTTTGTTTCTTCCTTTTTTAATTGTATTTTTGAGCTGTTAATGACTTCAGAAATATTTTCAGCTTTAATAATTTTTTTTGCTATAATCTTTGCTGTAAAAAAATACAGGCTCTATCCAAAACGCTAAGATTAATTGCCTTAATCCAGAAGCAGTGGTTTACTGTAAGTTGAAGACTAAAAAGAGGAATGTTTTATAAATTGAAAGATGCATGCCTGTCACTTGGAAGGAGCTCAGTAAATTTGAGTTTTAATAATATTAGACAACCAGGAATGAATGTGTTAATTTGCTGCCCAGCAAATGAAAAATCAGATAGCTAATAGAATGGACAAATGAAACCATGGAAATTTAGAATGTATTTGTGATGGCTGGGCACAGTGGCTCACGCCTGTAATCCCAGTACTTTGGGAGGCTGAGGCAGGCGGATCACAAGGTCAGGAGTTCAAGACCAGCCTGGCCAACATAGTGAAACCCTGTGTCTAATAAAAATACAAAAATTAGCTGGGCATGGTAGTGGGCAACTGTAATCCCATCTACTTGGGAGGCTGAGGCAGGAGAATCGCTTGAACCTGGGAGTCGGAGGTTGCAGTGAGCCGAGATCACGCCGCTGCACTCCAGCCGGGGAAACACAGCAAGACTCTGTCTCAAAAAAAAAACAAAGAATGTATTTGTGATATGGTATGGCCCATTAACATAATATTTTATATAAGCAAATACTCTATACTGTATTTGATTTCAGTCATGGAAGTATTTCAGGAAATATAATAGCAACCTGAGGGTGAGTGACTTTCCCATAAATCCTTGTGTCAGTCCTAGTTGTTTAAGTAGAGAGGTGATATGCATTTATTTTTATTTAGGATAAAGCAGATGCTATTAAACAGAGTAAGGCTGGCTTTGAAAATTTTTTGAACTATAAAGGAAACATTGGCATCTCAGAATTAAATAACTAAATTCTTCGGCGAATTCTAGTATGTGGTTTTGTTTAAGTTGTTGGATTTGACTGTGAATTGTTTTTTAATTTCCTTCTTACCATTTGAAAATTTTGTTATATTCAGTTATCCATTCAGGACACTAGGCCCTGTCACACATTTTTAAGCACTATAGCTATATTCTTTATAATACTGAACATTTTTCATTAATTCTCATGTAATTCAGAGAATCCAGTTATAATGCTGTTGATTTGAATGTGCTAGTTTTGACCTATATGCCCATGTTTAACTACTTGTTTATATTGTCTTGGTCATAATATTTTGAGCATTAGTTTGAACTTAAAACCTGAGTATGCATTAGTTCGTGTTCTAGTACATTTACTAAATTATGAAGTCAGATTTAACAGCCTTATTTTTTTTTCCTACAGTGGCTTAAAGAATGATTATAACAAAGAAACATTCACCTTGAAGCATAAAATTGACGAACAGATGTTTCCTTGTCGATTCATTAAAATAGGTAAGGTTTTAGCATTTGGGAATAGAAACAAATTCTTGGTATCATTAGTCAGCAAACTATAGCCCATAGACCAAATCCTGCAGGCCCCTCGTTTTTTTAAATACAATTTTATGGGAACATTGCTGCACTGGTTTGTTTACGTATTGTCTGTGTCTGCTTTTGTGCTACAGAAGTAGACTTGAGTAGTTGCAAGAGACCACATAGTCCACAGAGCCCACTAAATTTACTCTTTGGCCCTTTACAGGAGAAGTTTGCTGACTTCTGCTTTATATAAATTCATTACTAAATGGCAGTTATTTCAAGTGGAATCTTTTCCATATGTTTTCTAATTTGAAAGTTTTCTTAGATTTTATGGGATCTAGTGATTTGATTGTCTTAATTTTATGGAAGGTTTATCACTTATACTAAAACAATAGTATTCTAAAACCAAATACTGATAAAATCCTTAAGGCAGTATGTTATGGTTATTATCTGTTATGTTCTTTTATTTTATTTATTTTTTTTAGTTAAATGCTGGTCAGACCCATTAAATTTATTTAATAACCCATTGATAGGTTATAAATCACTGTTTGAAAAATATTACCTTAAGGCATGTATTTCTTTAGCAAGTATTTTAGCTTAAAAAAGTATTTATAATGCATCCTCAAAATGAGTATTTTTCAGGTGATTTTGTTTCCTTTAGGATTTATTATTTAGAAGGTAGGGAAGTTGAGGACTTAAATCCTGGCTAACACGGTGAAACCCCATCTCTACTAAAAATACAAAAAAAAATTAGCCGGGCATGGGCGCCTGTAGTCCCAGCTACTTGGGGAGCTGAGGTGGGAGAATGGCGTGAACCCATTAGGCAGAGCTCGCAGTGAGCCGAGATCACGCCACTGCGCTCCAACCTGGGAGACAGAGCGAGACTCCATCTCAAAAAAAAAAAAAAACAAATCTTCTAATTTATAACCATATTGCATACTTTTGAGAATATTATATTAATATGGGTATTAAAGTGAATTAGATACTTTGAAGAATAATAATAAAAGCCAGATTCCACATTTTGATTTGGGAGAATAATTACTCTTTTGGAACAAACAGAGTCATTGTTTGCCAATCTGTCAAGAGTTGCTGCCGTTTTGTTTTGTGGCTCAGATAGTTCTGTTGGGCAAAAGAATATTTGAGGTCTTAAGAAAGACTGCTTATATACAGAAACTGTTTTTGGAACAGTTGGATTCTAATATGTCACTTAGTAGTATTATAATTACTGTTATAATAAATACTTATAAATAAAAACCTATATTCTATTTTCTTATAAGAATTTATGAGCAAGCAAATTTTAAAAATAAATTTAACTTTCGGTTATTTCCTTCTTTTGTAGTGATAATGTTTTCATCAGTATTTAGATTTACCAGTTCCTAAAGACCTTTGCATAGCTTTAACAATTTCATGATTTTATATTTCAAGTATACAAGCAGTGGAAATGGGAATCTTTTCTAGCTCTGTCAGCCTTTTTTCCCCTTTCTTTTCTTTTTTGCTGAGTAGTTGAATATGTGCACTTAAAAAATTTCCCCCCAGCTTTACTAAGGTATAATTGACAAATAATTATATATATATTTATGGTTTACAATGTGATGTTTTGACATATGAATACATTGTGAAATTATTAAATCGAGCTAATTAACATATCCCTCACCTCACATACTTAAGATTTTTTTGTGGTGAGAACATTTAAGATCTACTCTCTGAGCAATTTTCAGTTGTTATTACTGTAGTCACCATGCTGTGCAGTAGATCTCATTCTAGATGTAGAACAGTAGATAAGTTCTACAGTAGAACTTATTCTTCCTGTTTGACTGAAACTTTTTACCCTTTCATCAACAGCCACCCATTTCTCCCATCACCTTTTTAATTATAGGGCATAATGATGTCTTTTACTTGATCTAGGGTTAGTTTTATGGTATTTGGCAAAATGTTAATTGGAGCTTTCCAAATAATAGTAGACACTTATTAGCCCATTTTCTATTTAGAATATTCATATATAGATAACTTAGTATGTCTTACTTTTCTCTAAAAGATGTTAATACCAGTCAGCAGTATCTGCTTCCCAACCCTTTCCCAACATTCTCTTAAGAACTTTTTGTTTTAAGTAATATAAGGAAATATGGAACTAAAAGGCCATATGTTAGGTCAGTAGTTGTAGTTTGTCGTATTTTCTTCAAAAGTTATTCCAGTAGAGGACCTGAATGATGTATAGCTCTCTCTTGGTGGTAATTTAGCACAGACATTTATTTGGTTCAGGTAAATTGTTAGAATTTGACTTAAAAGAAAAAAGGCCTTTGAGTATTTTACATCTGTGTTCTATAGTGACATGTTTGAAAGATCTTGCTGTATTTAAAAAACAAGTTAATGCCTACACGGCACAATTTCTAAATTTAGTCAGCCTTCAATTATTCACAGTAATGGAGGAGAATAGAAGCAAGGCTAACACAATGGCAGATCATCTCCAAGTTGTTTATTGACATGTAACTATAATAATTTTCATTTATAATGAATATAGCTTATTCATTTAAGTTTTGCTTAAAGCAAATTGAAGTAAGTTTGGTCATAAATTGTTAACAAGGAAAATAGCCCACATTTCTACTGTGTGGCAGGGGTTAAGTTTTAAGATCTGTTGTGGGTAATTCAGAGTACCAGCAAAGCTGAACTGATATCATTGGACTGCCTTCCTTCAGGTAAATTTTACTTTCTTAAGTTACCTTTTGTTTAAAATGAGGATGTTAATGCTTTTTCTGTCTAATGGTAGGATAGGTAGCTATATTGGATATTTTCTTGAGTTCTGTTCTAGTTTGTGGATCTGGGGTTTTAATTTAAGAGTGCATTTATGGAAGAAATGATTTCATTTTGGATATCTCTTTTGTGCATTTTTATACTTACATTTTTAAAGCTTGTGTTTACATGCCTTCTTACATGTAGTATTTTAGGGACTTTGATGGGAATTAGTGTAGAAGGAGAGTTGGCCTTAGAAAGAAGCTTGGTTTTAGATAAGACCTAGAGGTAAAAGAAAAATTTAGTAACAGAGGTGAGTTATTAATTGGGAGACTGGAGGATTCCCGAGGTCAAGTTAAAGTTTGGAAAGGGAAACCTCAGCAGGAGACTAGATCAGAGGAAAGTAAACATAAAGTAGAATGGGATGAGGGTATTGGTTACAGATGGCTCGAAGGGTTTACATTTGGATTCATAGTCACAACAACAGCTGTATGAGGAAATCAGGGGTAGGTGAGGGCAAAAGGAGGTACAGGGTCTTGGAAGGATTCAGGGGGAGTCTTGGTTTTTGGTAAATGGAGAGATGTGGATTTTTGTAAAGGGGTCAGCTGCAGCCTGGATGATTGTGGAGACTTCAGAGAGCGGCTTTTGCTCTGGCTGGATGTAGCGTGAATTCTGAGCATGAAGTCTGAGTATTAAGTCCAGGAAGCCCTTTAGGAGAGCATGTGGAAAAGTGACATTTTAGAAGTGTACTATTAAGAGGAAAATTAATATAATAATAATAGATAACAGCTAACAATTATTGAACACTTAGTATGTGCCAGTTACTGTGCTAAGTATACTTATGTCATTGAATCTGTAGTAGACTAGTAGATGCACTATTTCAGAATAGTTAATCTTGAATTTTTAGGATCTCTCAGAACCTCTTTTTTTTTTTTTTTTTTTGAGATAGAGTTTCGCTCTTGTTGTCTAGGCTGGAGTGCAATGGCACGATCTCGGCTCATGGCAACCTACTACCTCCCATGTTCAAGCAGTTCTCCTGCCTCAGCCTCCCAAGTAGCTGGAATTACAGGCATGCGCCACCATGCCCGGCTAATTTTGTATTTTTAGTAGAGACAGAGTTTCTCCATGTTGGTCAGACTGGTCTTGAACTCCCAACCTGAGGTGATCTGCCCGCCTTGGCCTCCCAAAGTGCTGGGATTACGGGTGTGAGCAGTGGCAGGGGCTTGCTGTGTTGCTCAGGTGGCACAATTAGAGCTCACTGCAACCTCCAGCTCCTGGGCTCAAGCCATGTTCCCACCTCAGCCTCCCTAGTAGCACACCACCACACCTGGCTAATTTTAAAAACAATTTTTTTCTAGAAACTGAGTCTTGCTGTCTTGCCCAGGCTGGCCTTTTTATGAAAAAAGGTGACACACAGGGATGTTGATTATATTCATGTCTGATTGTCCTGTGGGGAAAAGCTGAATCCTAGAAAACAAACTGCTAGCCTTGGGATATGTATTAGGAGTTTCTAGTTCTTTTATTTGATGAGGGAGGCGTCTTTTATTAGGGAACAAAAACATGTGCCTGGAGCTTTAATTCACTTTTAGATTTCTTATAGTATTCTATATGCATTATTAGTATTGTTAATGATATCAAAAATCACTGGCATTTGCAGTGAGTGGACATGATTCTGCTCATTTTTTACATTCCCTTTTAGTCTTGAAAATTAATTATATTGTTTATTCATCTGTAATATATGATGCCCTTTGGTGAGATAACTTCATGATTTACTTCCTTCCTCTAAAGGTATTCTTTAAAGGTATTAAAAATTATAACTAATTTTATTCTAGAAATATTTCTGTTGAACCATTGGGTAACAGAATAAATTTCACTGCAAGTGTTTTAAAAGGTTTTTGTTGTTTTTTTTGTTTTAAGAGACAGTGTCTTTCTCTGTTACCCAGGCTAGAATTTAGTAGTGTGGTCATAGCTCACTGTAACACTGAACTCCTGGGCTCAAGTGATCCTTCCATCTGGCCTCCCAAGTAGCCAGGACTACAGGCACATACTATCATGCCCAGCTGATTTTTAATTTTTTTTGTAGAGATAGGGTCTCAGTATGTTTCCAGGATGGTCTTGAACTCCTGGGCTCAAGTGATCCTCTTGCTTCCGCCCCAAAGTGTTGGGATTACAGACGCGAGCCACTGCACCAGGACCAATAAATGAATTCTTAATGAGACTTGGACCTGGAAATCTCTAATATTTTATGTCTGGTGACATATATAGACTATATTCTTGGTGCTTTTTGAGTTTTAGAATCATATTTTATTCTGACTCTTATACTACTTGATGGTTATTGCTATGTGATTTAGTAGATAAACTTTTAAATGACACTGCTGCATAAAGAAATAAACACTAAAACAATAATGATAATTTAATATTTGTTGTTAAAAAAACTTTTTGAAATGTGTGTGGTTTACATACATAAACAAAGGCATATTAAATATCCCAGCAGTACTTCATACATTCTCATGACTGGTTGCTACTGCCTGTGTTCTTATTCACACAGCTTCCTTTATATCAGTGGTCCCCAACCTTTTTGACACCAGCAACCAGTTTTGTGGAAGACAATTTTTCTATGGATCCAGAAGTAGGGGCAGGGTGTGGCAGAGAGATGGTTTTGGGATGAAACTTTTCCACCTCAGATCATCAAGCATTCGATTCTTATAAGGAGTGTGCAACCTAGATCCCTTGCATGTGCAGTTCACAGTAGAGTTTGCACTCCTTTGAGAATCTAATGCCAGTGTTGATCTGACAGGAGGCAGAGCCCAGGCGGTAATGCTCCGTCATCCGCTGCTCACCTCCTGCTGTGCGGCCGGGTTCCTAACAGGCCATGGACCCGTACAGGTTTGGGCCTGGGCGTTTGGGACCCCTGTTTTAGATGACGAAAATACATAAAAGTATCGTACCCCATATGTCTTCCTTATTCAGTCGGGTATTGGAAATCATTAAGCCTGGTATCAGCTATTCTGGATATTCTATTTTGATGCTTCATCAAAACTTTACAAGTGTTAGTTTCTTAAAGATAGTTGCATTATTGATTCTGAAACTGCATCAGTGAATCTATTGCTACATTAAAATTCACTGGTCTATCTTGGACTTTTTAGCCAGGTGTGATTTTGTAACATTCATTGGTTATTTAGAAAATAACCTGAATGATACAGATCTCCCAAATGTTGAAACACTTCATTATATAATATTTTAAAAATCACGTTTATTAATATCACAAGTAATCTCATTTAAAAAAATCTAAGCGTTGGGAATCAGTTAAGCTCACAGTGGTGGGTACTTACCTTCCAAAATTCTAATTTTTCTCTTGAAAGTTTGGTTTTTATCCTTGACAGCAAATATCATTAATTATTTTCCTTGAAATGACATGTAAATGTTTGGCAAATACCCAAATCTAAATAATCATAGGTTGTCTGTTTTTCTTTCAAGAATAAAATGGCAACCCATGAAAAATAAATTGGTTTTTAAACTAACAACTTGAATAATTGTACAGGTCCTTTCCTTGAGATAACCATTGTGCTTTGGTATACAACAAAAATGCTTTATATGCAATTCTCATTTTGTCACACAGGATATTAAAAAGATGTGTACTTAATGATGGGAGTTTAATAAAATTTTCTATGCCATCAGTAAAATTTTATTTTATTTTATATTTATTTATTTATTTTTATTGCCAGTGTATGGTGGTGAGGAGTACAGTGCAATTTGTACTTACTGAGCACTACTAGTACTGTTTGGTGCCATTAGTTTGGTACCCAGGTGCCAGAAATTTTATACACCATTGCTTTTGTGCCATTAGTGCAATGTTGCTATTATTAAAAGGCTAGAAAACTGTTTATTATGTTATTTTGAAAAATAGTTATTTTGAAAAATAACTAGTGTTGTTACTAAAAAAAAAAAAATAGTTTTGACTACATGGGACCTCCGGAAAGACCATTGGGATTTTGATTGACATGATGTTAAATTTATAATTAATTGGAGAAAACTACACATTTACAACGTTGAGTTTTCCTATATAGGAACATAGTATGTTCTTTCATGTATTCAATTATTCACTACAATTTTATATTTTCTTATAAATATTGTGTATTTTAAGTTTATTCTGAGATATTTTCAGCTTTTTGCCATTATAAATAGGACTTAATTTTGAGTTATATTTTCTAATTGGTTATTGTAGGTATAGGAAAAGTTGATTTTTGTGTGTTTACCTTGTTTACAAATAAAAAGAAAAGTTTTTCAATTGAATATATATATATATATATGTTTTTTGTTTTTTTGTTTTTTGTTTTTTTTTACATTGAGACAGTCTTATTCTGTTGCCCAGGCTGGAGTGCAGTGGTGCAATGGCAGCTCACTGCACCCTCTGCCTCCTGGGTTCAAGCGATTCTCTTTCCACAGCCTCCCGAGTAGCTGGGATTATAGGCGCATGCCACCATGCCTGGCTAATTTTTTCTATTTTTAGTAGAGACGGAGTTTCACTGTGTTGGCCAGGCTGGTTTTGAATTCCTGGCCTCAAGTGATCTCCTGCCTCAGCCTCCCAAAGTGCTGGGATTGTGTGAGCTACTGCTCCTGGCTCTCTTGAATTTTTTTAGGTAGACAGGTCATCTTTAAATTACAATTCGTTTTTCTTAATTTGTTGGTTTGTTTGTTTCCTTATTGCGCTGGCTGAGACCTCTGATTAGTGTCGAATAGTAGAGATATTGGACTTGTTTGTCTTGTTCTGACTTGAGTGGGAATACTTAGTATTTTCCCATTAGGTTTAGTTTTTAAGGTTTTTGATGCTTTTTAGAAAAAAGTAGGTAAGGAAATTTTTTATTGCCTTATATTGCTTATACATTGAGGGTTTAAAAATAATAATGTATTAAAGTTATCAAATGTGTTTTTTCTTTTATTTTGTTAACGTGGTACATCATGTTAATATAGCTCCTATTATTTATTGAACTATCATATTTCCATTCCTGGAGTGAGATCTATCTGGTTACAATGAAAATCTGATTGAATTTTTTTTGCAACTTTTCTCCTTTTAATTTGTATTTAAATATATATTCATAGCTGCAATTGGCCTTAAGTCTTTTTTCTTCTGATTTGGATTTCAGGGTTATGCCACTGATAAATAATTGAACTTTCAGTCTCTTTCAGTGTTCTGATGTAGGCTAAATTCTGAAGTAATTTTTTGCTGATTGTACATTTGGTAAAATTTACCTGTTAAATCATCTAATTCTGGTGGCATTTATTTGGGGGTAGACATATGAACATTTTTAATTTATCTTACAGTGTTTTTATTAACTAAGGAAATCTTATGTTGGCATGGGTCATCTATTTCGTTTTACTGTTGTAGCCTTAGCACCATGCTAGTCATATAAAAGATGCCCAGAAAATTTGTTGAATGAATCCTTATAAGGTTGAATAGTGCTTTTACTTTGCTAAAGTTTTATTTGAACTGTGTTAATATTTTTCTTCTTCTTTTTGTTTCTTCTTCTTAAAGTTCCACTCTTGTCCTGGGGACCCAGCTTTAACTTTAGCATCTGGTATGTTGAACTTAGTGGCATTGATGATCCTGATGTAGTACAACCTTGTCTCAACTGGTATAGCAAGGTAGGACTGTATTTTAAATCCTGACTTTAATGGCTGTAAAAGGAGAAATATGTCAATCTCTTATTCATTGAGAATAATTTAAAGTATTCAAAATAATAATAACAGTTAGCTAACGTTTTATTAGGCACTTCCAGTCTGCCAGCTTTTAAGCGATCCTAATAACTCACTTTGTCATTATCACTCTATGAGACAGGTGCACTTACTATCCCCATTAGTTTATAGATGAAGAAATGAAGCACAGAGAGATTGAATAGTTTGCCTAGGATCACACAACTGTAAAGTGCTTGAGCCAGTGTATGAACTCAGGCAGTTTGGCTCCACAGTCTGCTTTTATATTATACCCATTTGACTCTGAATTTTGTTTTTTTTACTTGTATTCATATAAATACTTAAAACATAGTTTTTAGTGGGATAGTTTTGCAGTCTGATGGAAAATTTAAGATGTCGATGTGATTTAGACTCCTAAAGTAGTCAACAGGGTTAAAAAATATTGCTGTTTAATATAACTGTAATATATATTGTTACATGGTAGTTACGATAAATCTTTTTTAGAGGCCAAGAGTAAGTTATAGTTAATTAATTATAATTAAGTTATTAATTAATAGTTAATTATAATGTGTAAGGATTAGATGTTTAATGACCTTTTATTAGTTAAGAAGTCAGCTATCAACTGATTTGTGTTTCAGATCTTATACATCTTCCTAAATACATTTTATTTTCTTGCCTCATTAAAGGGTAATGCCTATAAGTAAATCATTGTTGTTTGATTATCATGCCACATTGTTGTTTGATTATCATGTTGTTTGATTAGCATGTCATCTGTTTGTTTGAATAGTGGTATAGTTAGGAAATTTGACGTAGTCCCAGAACATACTCCTGAAGTTGAGATTTTTTTTAAAAAATCCTTTTTATAAGATTGTATTTTTGGCATCTGTCCTATTAGGGGAAAATTTTAATAAATTAAGTGCCTGCTTTTTGGATTCCAGTTAATTGAGATGTCTACTTTATAGCTGCTTAATAGATGAGGTAGTTCAGGCTTAGAAAACAATTAAACTGGGCCGGGCACAGTGGTTCTCACCTGTAATCCTAGCACTTTGGGAGACTGAGGTAGTGGATTGCCTGAGATCAGGAGTTCGAGACCATCCTGACCAACATGGTGAAACCCCGTCTCTACTAAAAACACAAAAATTAGCTGGGCGTGGTGGCATGTGCCTGTAAGCTCAGCTGCTTAGGAGGCTGAGGCAGGAGAATTGCTTGAACCCAGGAGGCAGAGGTTGCAGTGAGCTGAGATTACGCCACTGCACTCCAGCCTGGGAGAGAGAGCAATACCCTGTCTCAAAAAAAAAAAAAAAAATTAAATTTAGTCTGTTTTTGATGATTTTTGAGTCATAACACATGTTTGTAAATTTGAAGTATCTGTATACTTGATACTTGTCATTCAAGTAATAGCTTAAAAACCAAAAATAGAAAGCATAATATAATTGTATGTGAATTATTTCATGTTTTTTGTGCTCTCAGTACCTGCATTGTAATGGGATTAATAGACACTATGGAGTTATAATTTTTACAATATTAAGTGGAGTTTAAGAAATAGGTGTTCTCCCTTTCTTCAAAGTTGAGACTCTGGAATGAGGTTTGGTTTAATAACTTTTGGCTACATACTTTGTAACCTTGGACAAGTTTGGAACAGGCCAAGTTTTAGTTTTGCTGGTTAAAAGAGCCAAATAATGATACCTAATGAATCAGGTTAGTACACTGCTTGGGACATAGTGTTAATAAATGCTCAGTGTAGATTAGTTATTTTTACTGTTGTTAACTGTTTCCTACAGTATCATCTAACCAAATCTCTTCTTTCCATACTTACTCTGTGTTCTAGTAGTACCGTGAACAGGAAGCTATTCGCCTTTGCCTAAAACACTTCAGACAACACAACTATACAGAAGCTTTTGAGTCACTGCAAAAGAAAACCAAGATTGCACTGGAACATCCCATGTTAACAGATATTCATGACAAGCTGGTGTTGAAGGGTGATTTTGATGCTTGTGAAGAGTTGATTGAAAAAGCTGTAAATGGTATGAAACTTTGATTGGTTATTAGGGTAAATTCAAGTACATACGGGAAACTTTCACGAAAAGAATATAGGCTTATGCCAGTTATTACTCTAATTTTTTTTCTTGTTTTTTTTTTTACTCAGTTAAAGATTGTTAGCTCTTTGGATTAGGGACTTCTTTCATGTAAAATAGATCCATGATGTAATGAGACTTTAAAAAATGAAATGTACTTGAACTCACATATAAATGTAAGTTGGCATCTTGGGAAACCGTGCACTTACAAATGATAACATTAACTAGCATTAAACTGTATCAGAAATATTTTGATATTGATAGCCAATATTTATTAACAGTGTAGTTTTGAGGAGAAGAGGGGGCTAGATAATAAAAAGTGTTATTAGTAAGCAATTATATATAAGGAACAAGGAGATTTGTATTGAAAATAACTTCCTTATGGTGTAAATACTATATAATTGCCGATTTTCTTGTGTGATCTGTAATCTGGCTTTGAAAGAAATGTGAATAGTTGAACATCTATATTATCTCCCAGGGTATTGACTTTGGAGGGTAACGCTCATTTGGATATTTAAGGTCTGATGCGTTTTGTTATTTAAACTAAAAAGGGACTCTGTTGCTTATAGTATGACATTTTTTAAAAATCTTCCACAGTAACTTTCATAGTGACAAAGAACAGAATAGTTGTACAATATAAAACTTGTGGAATTGAATTTGGTGCATCTTTTATAGGAAGAAATAAGAAAAAATACATTTTTCAGTGATTTGCTCTCATTTTCATTTTATCACAGTTATCATCTTTTACTAGGTATTCATATTTATTAGATATTGGGTAGCTAAAAAAAACCAGACCTGCACTGCCTTCTTTGAGTTTGTAAATGTAAAGTTAACTTAAAATGAATTGCTTTGAGCTCCACTTTTTAAAATATGACAAATCTGCTTCTAAGCCTTGTACATTGTTATTGCTTACTTGATTGATGATGATACTTGCAAATAAATGATTGGTAAGTTTGAAATTGAATATATTTTGGAGTATAAACATATAAAACACGTAACTAATCTCTTACCAGACTTTGAAAAGCTATCAATAAAAGTATATGTGTGTGTGTATATATATGTATGTATGTGTATATATATGTATGTATGTATGCCATTTCTAGGAGTGAATTCTGTATTTTAACCTCATAGGATGAGGGAGGCATAGGTAATTTTAGAGCTTTTTTGTTTGTTTCAGATATTTATCATAAGGCGTTTATTATTTTGTGAAGGGAAAGCAAAACAACAGGCACAGGCAACTCTATACAATTAATAAGCTAAAAACAGTTATATATTTTAAAGCTGTCTTTAGTGACATACTCAGTTGGTTAAGATTAGCTGATAAAAATCTTGTGCAGTTTTAGTATCTACAGAGACTTAACTTATCCTTTGGCTCCAGAAAGGAACCAAGTTTAGAAAAATTAGTAGTTGCTCAATTCTTGAAACAGCCACATCATAGTTTTTGTACTATGAATACTATGGGCTCTCTAAACTGGCCTGGAACACTGTTAGTTAATAAACATTCCTTTCAGGGTTGTTCAGTTTGCTTCTGACCTCATTGATGATGATTTGTTGGACAAATAAGGAAGTAAACAGTGCAGAGTTTTTTGGCTTCTGCTCTATTAAAAACATAGCAGAGAAGGACAAGAAGTTCCTGCTTGCTAAATAGGAAGATCTAGGGAATCAAAAGAATCTCTGTCAAGCTTCTTGTAATGGAGGATACAAAAGCTACTTTTAGTATTTTTAGTATATTACTTAGTATGATCTTTAAGTATTGTCTGTATTTTAAGAAAGCGTAAGGCTGTATTTATTTCTCTAATAGGCTTTTTATTTGTCTAGAAATATCACTGTATTTACATTTCATTTTATTATAGGTGATTTCAGAACCAATAATTGCTACTACCTCTTTGCCAATGCAGGATCCAGTGATGATAGGCAAAAGTAATCACCTAGGGACAGGAATGTTTTACTCAAACATGTAGAGATTGTACTGAAAACCTCCCTTTGCTGAGCTTATCTTTTTTTGCTATAGAAAGAGAATTTTCTTTTGTGAGATAAGGGAAGGATAAAGTTTAATAAGGTAGTCATAAAGTTTCAACCTGAAATCTCTACCCTTCTCCCTCTGTCTTTCCCTGCTTCTTTCTTTTTTCTGTTATCCTGCTTTAAAAAAAATCTCTCTACTCTTGTCTTTTGGATTGTGCAGTAGTTGTTAATTATAGGCATATCTTGGAGATATTGCAGGTTTGGTTCCAGACCACTGCAATGAAGTGAATGTCACAATAAAGCAAGTCACACAAATTTTATTTCCTTTCCCTATGCATATAAAAGTTATATTTCCACTTTACTGTAGCCTGTTAAGGTACAGTCACATTATTTCTTTAAAAAAAAAATGCACATACCTTAACGTAAAAATACTTTATTGCTTAAAAAATGCTAATGATCATCTGAGCCTTCAGTGAGTTACAGTCTTTTTGCTGGTAAAGGGTCTTGCCTCAGTATTGATGGCTGCTGGCTGATAAGGATGGTGATTGCTAAAAGTTGGGGTGGCTGTGGCAGTTTCTTAAAATAAGACAAAAATGAAGTTTGCTGCATCAATGAGCTCTTCCTTTCACAAAAGATTTCTCTGTGTCATGCAATGCTGTCTGATTGCATTTGATCCACATTAGAACTTCTTTCAAAATTAGAGTCAATCCTCTCAAACCCTGCTGCTGCTTTATCAGCTAAGTTTATGTAATATTCTAAATCCCTTGTTGTCATTTCAACAATGTTCACAGCATCTTCATCAGGAGTAGTTTCCTTCTCAAGAAACCACTTTATTTGCTCATTCATAAGAAGCAATTTCTCATCCATTCAGGTTTTATCATGAGATTGTAGCAGTTCAGTCACATCTTCAGGTTCTACTTCTAATTCTAGTTCTCTTGGTGTTTCTACCACATCTGCAGTTAACTACTTCTTCTGAAGTCTTTAACCCTCTCCACATCATCCATGAGGTTGGAATCAGCTTCTTCCAAACTCTTGTTAATGTTAATATTTTTATCTCTTCCCATGAATCATGAATGTTCTTAATGGCATCTAGAATGGTGAATCCTTTCCAGGTTTTCAATTTACTTTGCCCAGATCCATCAGAGGAATCACTATCTGTGGCAACTATCGCCTTACAAAATGTGTTTCTTAAATAACAAGACTTTCTTGAAAGTCTAAATGACTCCTTGATCCATAGGCAGCAAAATGGATATGTGTTAGCAGGGATAAAAACATTAATCTCCCTGTATTTCTCCATCAGAGCTCTTGGGTGACACGTACATTGTTAGTGAGCAGTAATATTTTGAAATACATCTTTTTTTTTTTTCTGAGCAGTAGGTCTCAACAGTGGGCATACAATATTCAGTAAACCATTCTGTACACAGATGTGCTGTCATCTAGGCTTTGTTATTCCATTTGTAGAGCACAGGCAGAGTAGATTCAGCTTAATTCTTAAGGGTCCTAGGATTTTTCAGAATAGTAAATGAGCATTGACTTCCACTTAAAGTCACTAGCTGCATTAAACCCTTACAAGAGAGTCACACTGTCCTTTGAAGCTTTGAAGCCAGGCATTGACTTCTGTCTAGCTGTGAAAGTCCTAGATGGCACCTTCTTCTAATAGAAGTCTATTGGAATGTTTTGTCTACATTGAAAATCTGTTTAGTATAGTTACCTTCATCAGTGATCTTAGCTGAATCTTCTAGATAGTAATAACTTGCTGCATCTTCTATAATACATCAACACTTGTGGCTTTACTTTGTACTTTTATGTTATAGAGATGGCTTCATTCTTTAAATTTCATGGACCAACCTCTGCTAGCTTCCAACTTTTCTTTTGCAGTTTTCTGACTTCTCTCAGCTTTCATACACTTGAAGAGAGTTAAGGCCATGCTTTAGATTAGGTTTTGGCTTAAGGAAGTGTTATGACTGGTTTAATTTATCCAGACCACTCTAACTTTCTCCATATTAATATGGAGAAATATGGAGTCTGTTTTGCTTTCCTATCAGTCGTGGGTTCACTTGTAATTTCCTTCAAGGACTTTTCCTTCTCATTTACAACTTGGTCAACTTTAGTGCAAGAGGTCAACTTTCAGCCTATCTTGGCCTTTGACATGCCTTCCTCCCTAAGTTTAATTATTTCTAGTTTTTTATTTAAAGTGAGAGGTATGTGTTGAACACTTAAAGGCCAGTAAAGATATTAAGTGGCCTAATTTCAGTATTGTTGCATCTCAGGGAATAGGGAGGCTCAAAGTGAGGGAGAGAAATGGGGGAACTGCTGGTTTATGGAGTAGTCAGAATACACACATTTATTAAGTTCCTTGTCTTATAAGGGTGTAGTTCATGGTGCCTCAAAACAATTACATTATTAACATCAAAGATCACTTATCATAGGTGACTGTAACAGATATTACAATAATGAAAAACGTTGAAACGTTGTGAGAATTACTGAAATGTGAGAGAGACGCAAAGTGAAATTCTATTGGAAAAATGGCATCCATAGACTTCCTTCAATTTATAAAAAACACAGTACCTGTGAAGCGTGGTAAAGCAAAGCATTATAAAGGCGTATGTATATTGAATTATCTTCATTGATTTTCTGTTTTTAATGCAATTTTGTATTCCTGTTACAAACCCTACTTGAAAATGGTGTCTTACTCTTTTCAGGTGTTGTATTTGATCTGCCACATTTTTATGAAGTATTTTTGCATATATTTGTGTATGTAAGATATTGGTCTGCAGTTTTCTTATAATGTGCATGTCGTGTTTTGGTATCTTTTGGTGTGTTTGGGTAGTTCTAGCCTTTTAGAATGAGGCAGGAATCTAAAAGTGTTTGTGTAGAATGAGTAGTAGCTTGGTAGAATTTACTAGTGAAGGCAACTGGACCTGAAGTTACCTTTGTGTGGAGGTTTTTGTGTTATTTTGGCAGGGTCTCATTAGTTTTCGGACTTC